GAGGGAGGGCCCGGGGCGGGGAGCCGCGCAGCCCCAGGATGATTTGTCATTGCCTAATGAGATTAATAAGCCCGGGGGGCTGGTATGCGGGGGGATGGGCTTCTCATTAGAAGCAGATGGTCATGGGAATGGTGGCAAGTGGGGTCCGGGGGTGGAGCGCCGCTCACCCGCCAGGTGGTTTCCATTAATCTGTAGGCGGGGCCAGGGGGCGCGGTCCCTCCTCCCCTTCCCACCCCCCTGACTTGGGGAGGAATGCGGCGGGGAGCTGCCCTAGGCTCTGGCGCAGCCGAAGGCCCAGAAGGGAGGCTGATGGGTTCAGGGACAGCCCTCCCGCTTGCTGTTATAGCTCCATGTCTGGCACAGGGTATGTGCTCAATAAATACCTGTTGGATGATATCAGAGATGAGAGGGGCCTGGGGCTTGGGGGTGGGAGGGAGGCTAGGACCATCTTGGCTTTCCTCCCGGCCACCAGAACCTCTCCCTCTCCCGTCCCCCCACCCCCAAACAGCCCCTATACCTACGGGGGTGTTTTAAGCCCCTTCTCAGCCAGGCCCCGCTTTCTAGTGAACCCTGGAAGTCCTGGAGGGCTCGGAGAGAGCTGCTCTGCAGCCTCGAACCAATAATTTGGTTTTCAAACCCACAAGCAGGGAGGTCTGCAGGGGCCGGAGGGAGCCAACTTTGTGCCGCCCCACCCTGTCCAAACGTGGTGCGCGCGCACGCACACACGTACACAAACACACACACACACACACACACACACACAAACGTACACATGCACACTGTTACACAAACTCACGCTCAATCTCTCTTGACAGTTTTAGTGAGATATAATTTACATACCATAAAGTTTGTCCAGTTAAAGCATTCAATCCAATGGTTTTTAGTATATTTACCCAGTTGTGCAATCATCATCATAATCTAATTTTAGAACATTTTCATCATCCCCAAACCTTGAATCATTAGCAGTCACTCCCTATTTCCCAGCCCTAAGCAACCACTAATCTACTTTCTGTCTCTGTAGATTTGCCTATTCTGGACATTTCATATACATGGGATTATGTGTTTTTTTGTAACTGTTTTTTTGTAACTTGCACTTAGCATAATGTTTTCAAGGCTCATTCATATGATAGCATGTGTCAGCACTTCATTCCTTTTTATGATCGAATAATATTTCTTGTGTGCCTATAGCACATTTTTGTTTATTCATTTATCGGTTGATGGACATTTGAGGTTTTTCCACGTCTGGGCTTATTGTGAATAATGCTACTATGAACATTCCTGTCCAGGTTTTGTGTGCGGATGTATGTTCACTTCTCTGGAATATCCACCTAGGAGTGGAATTGCTGGGTCGCATGGTTACTCTAACTGTCATACTGTTTTTCCAAAGTGGCTGCCCCATTTACACTCCTAGCAATAATGTACAAGGGCTCCAATCTTTCCACATTTTCATCACCACTTGCAGTTGTCCTTTTTTAAATATATTTTTATTTATTTCGGAGAGGAAGGAAGAGGGAGAGAAAGAAACATCAGTGATGAGAATCATTGATCAGCTGCCACCTGCACGCCCCCTACTGGGGATCGAGCCCACAACCCAGGCATGTGCCCTGACAGGGAATTGAACCATGACCTCCTGGTTCATAGTTTGACACTCAACCACTGAGACACCCTGCTCAGGCTTGTCTGTCTTTTTTATTGGCTGTGAAGTGGCATCTCATTGTGGTTTTGATTTGCATCTCCTTAATGACTAACAGTGTTGAGCACCTTTTCATGCATTAATTGGTCATTTGTATATCATCTTTGAAGAAATGTCTATTCAAATCCTTTGCCCATTTTTCCATCTGGGTTGTCTTTTTATAACTGAGTTGTAAAAGTTCTTTTTTTTAAAAAAAACTTTTTTTTAAAGTATATTTTATTGATTTTTTACAGAGAGGAAGGGAGAGAGATAGAGAGTTAGAAACATCGATGAGAGAGAAACATCGATCAGCTGCCTCCTGCACATCTCCCACTGGGGATGTGCCCGCAACCCAGGTACATGCCCTTGACCGGAATCGAACCCGGGACCTTTCAGTCCGCAGGCCGACGCTCTATCCACTGAGCCAAACCGGTTTCGGCTGTAAAAGTTCTTTATAAATTCTGGATAGAAGTCCCTTATCAAGCATATGATTTATGGAAATATTTTCTCTCATTCCATGGGTCGTCTTTCACTTTCTTTTTTAAAGAATATTTTTTTTATTGACTTCAGAGAGGAAGGGAGAGGGAGAGAGAGCTAGAAACATCAATGATGAGAGCGCATCATTGATCGCTGCCTCCTGCATGCCCCCTACTGGGGATCGAGCCTGCAACCCGGGCATGTGCCCTTCAGAATAGAACCCGGGTCCCTTCAGTCCACAGGTTGACGCTCTATCCGCTGAGCCAAACCAGCTAGGGCACCTTTTACTTTCTTAATGGTGTCCTTTAAAGAGCAAAAGTTTTAATTTTTTATTAAATCCAACTTATCCATCTGCTGTTTTGTTGCTTGTGCTCACACACGCACTCTTACGCACTCAGCTTCCTGAGTTTCTATTTTCCCCAGAAGGGCAGAGGATATGATTTGCTCCCAGAAACACACACACACACACACACACACACACACACACACACACACACACTTCAGCCATGGGTGGGGGTGTCCTTCTACTCCATATTGACATCGATACAGGGAGAGGAGTGTGCTGAGTCAGGGGAGCCTGGTCTGGGTTGGGCAAGTGGTTTGGGGGAAGGGAGGCTCCATCTGTACCCTGCACCTCCTCCAGGTTCCAAGACCACAGCTCTGTGGAAGCAAAGGGCAGAGAGATGCCACATCACAGAAACATCTGTGCATCCTCATGACCTCATCTAAGAAATGAAGGGATCAGATTAGACAACCCAGAGCAGGGGTTCCTCACAGCCCCTGAAATCATATGCACAATGTTGGGTGTATGCATTTTTCTGGGGTGGGAGTCCATCCTCAAATTTTCAAAAAGATGTGCTTAGCGATTACGGTGCAGAACCACCGACCTATGAGGGCCTCATAGGTCTGAAGAAATTACCCAAGTTCTGGCGGAGTGTCCCTTCCTGCTGCTGGGGAGGGACCAGGGACCAGGGACAAGGGACCAGATCCCATGGGGCTGTCAGAGCTCAGCCCAGGTCCGTGCCCCTCAGGAGAGGACCCAGGACTACTGGTCTGGGCGAGCAGGCCACCTCCCAAGGGCACAGGAGGGGCTGCCTTGGTCACCCAGGAAGCCACTCTGCGGGTGGGAGGCGAGGGGGAAGGAGTGCCAACACTTGGTGGAAGCTCCCCTGTCAGTAGCCCCGGCCTGGCTGGGCTGCAGGAAGTCCAGGGCAGGAAAGCGCTGGGGCGAGCGGCCGGCCGCCTTGCTCCCATCTGCAGAGCATCAGTGGGGCAGGCGGGTGGGGGTTCCCGAGGAGAGGAGGGCCGGAGGAAATGAGAATAAACACAAGCGAGCTAGAGGGAAGGGGCGGGGGGCTGCAGCCTCAGCCCCTTGGCAGCCCATGAAGGGAAGTGACACAATGAGGAATGTGTTTCCCTCTGCCGTCCCCTGCAGGGGGGTGGGATGCAGAGCCCTGAGAATGGCCAGACCCCAACAGGGGCCAGGGGGCACACGCTGGAATAGCATCGGAGGGGGGGGCGTGAGGGCGAGGGTCTGGGCAGCAAAAGGGGGCTGACAGGCAGGAAGGACAACCCTGGGTCCTCTCCAGCCTCCACTCCGCAGGGTGTTCCAGGGCTTGCGTGCTTGCACGTCCCCTGCGTGTGCCCAGCCTGAGGCACCTCCCAGCACGCCTGCGTATGGAGGCCTTTCCCTTGGGAAGCTGACCCCTTCTGGTGGCTTCCTTCTTTCCCAAGGGACTCGGGGCTGTGGAGGCTGGCTGAGTCCTTGGTATGAGAGGAAGCTGGGGTATGAGGACCCTGGGCCATAGTGTTTCATTGCTCTCTCTCTCGCGCTCTCTCTCTCTCTCTCTCTCTCTCGTGTGTGTGTGTGTGTGTGTGTGTGTGTGTGTGTGTGTGTGTCCAACTGGGATGGTCAGTGGGAAAACAGGCCCCCTGGTGGGAGGGCACCTCCCCATCCTGGACACCCATTTCCTCTCCTCCCAGCAGGGAGCTGGCTCCATTAACCCCCTCCTGCCCGCAATCGAGAGCTGTCCCTGAGGCTTTGGCAGGAGAGTCTGTCCCTCATTCTGGGCTGGAGAGTGGCAGGGGCTCCACTACCTTCCATCCCGGCTGTGCCCTGCTGGAGCTCAGCCCGGAGTGGTACTTCCCTTGCCACCTTCTCTCAGCCTTGTGCCTCCTCGGAGACCCTGGGGGGAGGCGGGCACAGGACTGAGCAAACCTCCGCCCTGAGGGGCCAGGCCCTCGGGTGATTTATGGCCTTGCCTTGGAGTCCGGGGCCCTGCGACCAGGTCAGCATCCATGCAGTCATCAACCCGCTGCCTGACCTGTTTCCTCACTTGTCAGCTGGAGAGACTCGCAGGATAGCCATGAAACACCTCCGACAGCCAGGCAGGGGGAGATTCCATCTTTGCAGAGCACTTTACAAAAGACTGCAACACCCATTTTGAAATGATTCTCACAACCTCCCCATGAGATACTCAGGGCAGCGCAGAGGTGGAACCAAGGCCTCCCAACCCCGAGCCCAGTGCTCTCACTTCTTGTTCACATGCTCTGCTTCCTGCTTCCTCATCTGAGGCCCTGGCATCCCTTCTCCTGGCATCTACGTCCTCGCTCGTCTTCCTGACCAAGTACCCCTTACGCCAGGCAGGAGGCTGCAGAGACGGGTTTGAGGGGCAGGGGCCTTCATCCAGCTTCCCAGCCAGTGCTAAGGAGTGACGGGATTTAGGAGGAAACTGAGTCCCAGCACTTCCTGTGATAGTGAGGCTACCGGGCCCCAGGGGAGCGAAGGGAGGGGAGCGGGGGTTGGGCAGAGCCCGAGAGGTAAGAGGGCCTCCCCACTTTCCTCCCGCAGGGACCTGAGGAATAATGTCATCAGCACCGTGCAGCCCGGTGCCTTCCTGGGCCTGGGGGAGCTGAAGCGCTTGTAAGTGGCATGTCCTGCCCCCAAACCTCCCAGCCCTCCCGTTATCCCTGCAGAGAAGGTCCCATGGATCCCATGAGCAACCACCCCACCTACTCACCCACATCCCTTCTTCTCACCCACCCATAGCGGCCCCCCTCCCCGCACAGCATCCTGGCTGGGGGCAAAACTTTGAACCCCCAACCTCATCTCCTTTTTCACTCTGCTTCCCACACAAGCCACACTTGTGTGTCCCTCCCAAGCGGCTCTGTGTGCAACCACGTGGCCTGCTGAGGTTGTGTGTGTGTCTTTCTAGAGATCTCTCCAACAACCGGATTGGCTGTCTCACCTCGGAGACTTTCCAAGGCCTCCCCAGGCTTCTCCGACTGTGAGTGAGGGGCGAGGGGCGAGGGAAGGTTCACCCCAAAGGACGGTTAGGGAGGAGGAAGGCAGCTCCAAACCCTTACAGGTCCCTGCCTGCTCTTCACTCCCCGCTCCTCCCTCTAACGCCAGGAGACCCTAAGATAGGCTCACTGTTCCCTGTCCCCTGCAGAAACATATCTGGAAACATCTTCTCCAGTCTGCAACCTGGGGTCTTTGATGAGCTGCCAGCCCTCAAGCTTGTGTGAGTATCTTTTCCCAGCCCAAGGACTCAGACCCCGCTTCGTTCCTCTGCCCTGGAGGGAGGCACCTGGGCACCTGACCACAGTGGCCAGCCTGTGAGTAGGCAGGACAGACAGTGGCTGAGACTCCACCATAGTTGCCTTCCCATGATTGCTGGGCCGGTGCACAGGTACCCACGTTTGCCCTCTCCAGCTCAGTCCCTCCCTGGGACTCCATCCCCACTCCGGGAGCCCACACTCCTCTGCTCCAGTCTGTGCCCTCTACCCACTCTGCAGGGACTTCGGCACCGAGTTCCTGACTTGCGACTGCCGCCTGCGCTGGCTGCCGTCCTGGGCCCGGAATCACTCCCTGCAGCTGTCCGAGCACACGCTCTGTGCCTACCCCAGTGCCCTGCACGCCCAGGCCCTGGGTGGCCTCCAGGAGGCCCAGCTGCGCTGCGGTGAGCAAATCCTCAGCCTGCACACCTGCCCGGGACCCTGCCCACCCCTCGGGCCCAGGCTCCCTCCTGAAGGGCCTGGCCGCCTCCAGGCTCCCTCAGCAGGAAGTGTTCCTGGGTGGTGGGCAGGTTCTCCCCGGCATCCTTTCCCTCAGATCCCACTGGGGGTCACCTTCCATCAGCTTTTCTAAACTTCCCTTGGGCCTGCTGCTTTATGTTTTCATCTGGGGTGCTGTGTGCTGTGGAAACGAGAACTTTTACTAGTTTGTTCTAAACCAGTGGTTCTCAACCTTCTGGCCCTTTAAATACAGTTCCTCATGTTGTGACCCAACCATAAAATTATTCTCGTTGCTACTTCATAACTGTAATGTTGCTACTGTTATGAATCGTAATGTAAATATCTGATATGCAGGATGGTCTTAGGCAACCCCTGTGAAAGGGTC